TTTTATTCCAAGTATTTCCTCGTTCCCAAACGGGGAGGGAACGGAATTCGGCCAATACTAGATTTGAGGGCTCTGAACGCATATCTAAAAAGATACAAATTCAGAATGCTCACTCACACATCTCTGCTGCGTCTCGTGCGACAAAACGACTGGTTTACATCAGTCGACCTGAAAGATGCGTATTTCCATATCCCAGTATATTACCCACACAGGAAATATCTGAGGTTCGCATTTCAGGGGGTCTGTTACGAATACAGAGTACTTCCCTTCGGGCTGTCTCTCAGTCCAAGAGTGTTTGTACGATGTACGGAAGCCGCGATAGCCCCGTTGAGACAACAGGGTATTCGCCTGGCAACCTACCTAGACGACTGGCTGCTCCTCGCACAGTCGGAGAAGGAGGCTATTACGCAGACAAATGTCCTCGTAAAGCACCTGCTCAACCTGGGTTTCATAATAAACACAGAGAAGAGCATGCTGTGCTCAGCACAGACTGTACTCTTCCTGGGTTTACGCCTAAACTCGGTGCCCTTTGCAGCCCGCTTGTCGGCGGAAAGAGTGAAAGCTTTCAGAGCTTGTCTCGCTCATTTCCAGCTGCGCAAACATGTTCTCTTCAGATCATGCCTGCGGTTACTGGGGCTCATGGCGTCAGCCATCCTGGTCATACGACTGGGACGCTTACACATGAGGGAGTTTCAGCGCTGGGTAGCCGCTCTAAAACTAAACCCGCGTCATGGCGCGCGGAGAGTGATGGTTGCGGCGAGATGCGTAATGGCACTGCGCCACTGGCTACACCCGACTTTTCTAGTACGGGGCGTATCGATGGGGACTGTCCTTTCACGGAAGGTGGTCACCACGGACGCATGTCTGACAGGCTGGGGAGGTATTTACGAGGGTCGCCCGGTGAGGGGTCTCTGGAGCAGAGACCTCCAGCGGGCGCACATAAATTACCTGGAGCTTTTAGCGGTGTTTCTCACCCTAAAACGCTTTCTGGCTTTTCTCAGAGGACACCATGTCCTCGTGAGGACGGACAATACGACCACGATATCGTATATAAACCGACAAGGGGGTTTGCGCTCTCTCCAGTTACACATGCTGGCACGCAAACTGATCTTGTGGAGCTGTGGCCGTCTCCTCTCTCTGAGAGCGGCGCACGTACCAGGGGTATTGAACCTCGGGGCAGACTTACTGTCCAGAGGTGTACCACTATATGCAGACTGGACTCTACATCCAATGATTGTGAGCCAGCTGTGGGTGCGTTACGGCCGAGCCGCGGTGGATCTGTTCGCATCAAAAGAAAATGCTCACTGTCAGCTTTTCTTTTCAATGCGCGATCAAAACGCACCGTTAGGCGTGGACGCGCTCGCGCACGATTGGCCTCCGGTCCTCCTGTACGCGTTTCCACCCCTGGCGCTGATACCCCAAACTCTGGCCAGAGTGAGGGAACAGCGCCACACAATGATCCTGATAGCTCCGTACTGGCCTGCAATGTACTGGCTGGCGGAGATCTATCAGTTGCTGTGCAGTCAGCCGTGGCAGCTCCCCCTGCGCAGAGACATACTGTCTCAGGCGGGGGGGACGATCTTTCACCCACACCCGGAGCGCATGGCCCTATTGACCTGGCCCGTGAGTGGTACAATCTGAGTACAGTGGGTCTCCCGCAGAAGGTGATAAACACTATTCAGAGTGCGAGAGCCTCCTCCACCAGGAGTGGAGGGTGTTTGAGGAATTGTGCCTTCAAAAAGGGCACACCTCTTTTCAGTGTCCTGTTTGAGTGATTTTATAATTTCTACAGGACCTGATTGAAAAACACAGAGCTTTCTCCACGATCAAAGTGTACTTGGCTGTTATTGCTGCATGCCATGTGGGCTTTGAGGGTAAGACGACCAGCCAGCATCCTCTGGTCTGACGTTTTATGAAGGGAGCTCGCAGGCTCCTCCCTGTCTCCAGGTCACTTGACAGTGGTTTTAGATGGGCTCACTCGAACCCCATTTGAACCTCTGGAAGAAGCTGACATGAAACACCTGTCACTAAAGACAGTGCTGTTACTGGCTCTGGCATCAGCCAAGCGAGTCAGTGACATTCATGCGCTATCTGTACATCTTTCATGCACTCAGTTTTCCCCAGGGCAAACGAGGGTGTTGCTGAAGCCCAACCCTGCCTTTATACCTAAGGTGGTTGGTTCGTGTACCTCAATTGACATTGTGGCATTTCCTCCGCCGCTGTGTCCCTCCGGGAAACAGCAGCCGAATTTGCTGTGTCCAGTTCGTGCTTTACGCACCTATATGGATAGGTCAAAAGAGTTTCGTCGTAATGACCAACTCTTTGTATCCTGGGCTAACCCTCACAAGGGCAAGCCCGTTACTAAGCAACGGCTCTCCCACTGGATTGTGGAAGCGATTGCTTTGGCCTATACGAGTCAGGGTTTGCAGGCACCTCCGGGTTTGCGTGCTCACTCTACTCGTGGTCTGGCTACATCCTGGGCTTTGTTCAAGGGTGTTTCCATTCAAGACATTTGTGCAGCGGGGAGCTGGTCCTCGCCGCTCACTTTTGTCCGCTTTTACAGATTAGACGTCTCTGCTCCCAGTGTGGCTCATGCAGTGCTGGGCCCCCTGCTGAGTTAGAGCTCTAACTGTTAAGTTCTGGTTGGTCTTGGTGACTTTCGAGATAAGCTCGTCTGGCAATACGGGAGCTACAATATCCCATAGTGAGACATTGAACGGAGTGTTATGAATGAGAACTATAGGTTACTTACGTAACCCCAGTTCTCAGAGTAACATGAAGTGAGATCTCTCACCAGACGGCCCTCCTTGCTATGGTGAAGCGAGAAGAGGTGCTTATTTTGAATGACGCATGCGGCGTAGCGCAAGCTACTTATAGGGGGTGGATTCCCTGACGGCTGACGTCAAGATCACCAGCCAATCAGGGATTGGCGTAATGAGATTGATTGCTTCTGTTTGCTCCGCGATGAGGCGCATCCCATAGTGAGACATCTCACTTCATGTTACTCTGAGAACTGGGGTTACGTAAGTAACCTATAGATCTATGGATACCTCTCTCAGCACCCATATGAAACACTACTGTAAACAGAATTTCTTTTCTTTATGGATATTTTACAAATCGCTCCCATTTTAAACTGTATTCTTGTTTTACTGCCATATAGTATTTCATACCTGTTTTTCATTTATTCTCTTATTGTTAATGATCATATGAAGGTGTGCCGCGGAAATACTGAGACTGAATGATTTGTGACAAATCTCCTCCAGCTTGTTGTGGAAACAGCTCCTTATGTCCGTTAGTGCAGCTAGCCAGATGCTAACATCATTTGAACGGCTCTTTGGTACGAACGAGGAGAACCGAGTCGTACTCGGTAATAATGTTCGAGCCGTTTTTAATGGCTCAGGCCTGGAGCCACTGGAGTGTCACCACCTATGCCGGGACACGACCGTTCATCGGCATCACTACCCTTAATACCGAAGAAACTTCCCTCGGCCTAGAAGACCGGAGCTAAGGAAAGTTTTCTCGGCGAAGTTTCTCAAGCAAAAAAATTTCCCGCGCCCCAGCAATGATCGCCAAAATATACGCTTTATTAGGTGTCGCCTATTACTAACGGTGGATTACAGTTATTAGAACGGTACACATGTACTGTGTTTGCCACCGCGGTTATAGGTACAGTAATACCAGTCACTTAGCATGTATGAAACTAAATGGCGAAGACGATGCACAATTCATTTATTTCAACGGAACGCAAACTTACTTTAAGTACGGGTTGGATGGAATAATTATAATCATAACACAAAATTCACCGCTACCGGCTAATAAACACTGGGCACGAATTTCCATAAACGGAAAGGTTACGCACCGAAATAGTAACGGAACCTCAAACCAACTTCACCGTAGTTTAACGACGACGACGCAAAAGCGCAAAACGCGAAGAAAAAGGTAGGCTTTCTTGTGAGCCAGATGGACAGGACTGGTGAACAATACCTGAAGAGAGAGCTCGCATAGGGAATCTGGTTGCGGTAGAGTGAGGAGCGACGACTTGGATGGCAGTCTCATCGCCCGACCAGAAGTGTCGTTATGCAAAACACGCCCTTGTTTTAGTTCTAAGATTTTCCGCCTAAACCGTCCGTAATCCACGCCTGGTTGCTACTTTGCTATTGTTC